CGTCAAAACTCTAAATACGTCTCTAACTATTAATTGGAATAAAATAACTCAACCTAACTCAAAGAAATATAATAGGCTGATATAATATATATATATTTAATATATTTATAATTATTTTTTTTAACTATTCGTAATACCTTATATTTTCATAAAATGAAACAATTACAATTTAAACAAGAATAAATAAATAATTTCATATTATATTTTAATAAATCTCTAATAATCAGAATTAACCAAAATTAACCGGTTCTATAGTACGGCCACTGAGAGAGCCTACTATAGAACCCTTACTCTTTTAAAAAACCGAAACCGAAATCAGAGCCAAAAAAAACCTATGGGTTCTAGTCCCTGATTGAAACTGGATTCACGACAATAATTTCCGTGCCACCGTGCCATCGTCATTAGTCGCTGTACGTCTACAAGTTAGCAGATGAAAAATATCGAAGAATCGAATAAGTTTATAAAAAAATGTTATATTAAGTTAAGTTTAAGTATTAACTGAATATTAAATTAGGTATTAAGTATAATTCACTTTCCACTAAAATGGTTTTTCTTGTTCGTTGTTGTATGGAGTTTATGTTAAATGATTCAAGTCTCCCCAGAATATTTATTACGAGCCACTACTGCTTAAACGGTACGTCGCAGTCGATTAAATATTACCGCGCCAAATACGGTTAATCGAAAACGAAACGTCCGTCGCGCGCGCATACATAGGATCCGGCGTTAATAACGAATTGTCGGAACTAGTAATACATCCAATCAGTACTTATTCGAAAGATCATTTTCAACTACGCATTTTGTCTATTAAAATAGAACTATGATCTTGAAATATAATATCAAATTATAGTTACAAATAATAACATTTTCAACATTTAGAAGGAATAATTTAAAATTTAATCTATTAAGAAGAAATAAGACTATAAAAATGTATGATAAATAAAAAGTACGTATGTGTTATATGTAAAACTGTACGATATTAGTTCGAACACCGAATACGATACACACCTTTTAGTTTCTCAAATCTTAACATCGAACACGGAGAAAATGTTAAACTACTCAGTTTTCATATTCCATTTGCATATACGGTGTTTTCCATCGGTTGTAAACATCAGTGTATAGTGTTCGTTGCAGTTCTGTAATTCGAACACTATACCACCGATTGAAAACCGATATTGTACGGCTACTTTATAAAACAATTTTCTTATTGCAAAAACACCTAACACATTAATACCTATAGGAACAACTATTATTTTTCGTTTTATTAATGTGGGGCAATAAATCATAAAAATCAATTACGCAAAAATAAGTCCAACTGCGCTTCAGAATAAGCTCTGCACACAAAGCGACATGGTCGGTTGATCGAATCGTTGCGAACTTTGCGAACGGTGAAACAGTATTAATTGCGAACAAGCGAACTTGCGTGCGTTTATGCTGAAGTGAGAAACACTGCACGTGTATTTTATTATTATTTTCTTGACGGTCACGCAAAATGAAAGTCGTGATTCCGTGTACGTTTATTTCTCGGTTTCTTTTTCTCCTGTTTCTCTCGACGTGAGAAATGCTTAACAATATAACGTCAAACTCTTGGCACGCCATATATAATTCAATCATATCACAGGTGCAATGAAAGATGATAGCGGAGATCGCTTATCTACCGTAAATAAAAAAAAAAATAATAAAAAATAAAACACTAATGTTTATTTGAATTTCAAATTTCTCCTATAGCCAAGAGAATCACTCAACTTATACGTGAGTGCAATTTTTTTAACACTGTTTCCTCCCCCCCTATACAGTATACATAATCTGTCGGGTCTGAGTCTATACGGAGATTACGTGTTGAATAACGATAAAGAGCGCTGAACTACACCAACACTATTGTTAGTGTATCCATAATCGGATTAGATTAATCGATAAATATTTATATAAACTCAATGAACTATACGGATTTTAAATAGTTAGCCATAAAATATGCTTAACCGTTTAGTATTCATCCGGTTTAACGAGTACCTACTTACTAATACCTAATTGCTGTACCGGTGAAATTAAATATGCGATTTTGTTCTGTATTTTATCAAAAATGTATAGTTTTAGGAGTCAACGGTAATATTATAACAGTAGAATAATAATAATGATACACAGTTGCTAATAAAATATTATTCAGTAAAGGAGTATATGTGTATATTTTTTTTTTTAAGTGTGCCTGTCATCATGTTTTGGGACAGTAAAAGTGCTTCAATTTTAAAGACCCAGAGTGGTTTCTGGTAACAAAGTGAATCTAGTTGGTGCTTTTGGTGGTCAAAAGTAAAAATTGGGAACTCGTTCTGCTGTAATAACTTACAGTAGGGGTGGAGTGGGCCTCGGTCATAGAGTGTAATACGGATGTGAATTTAGACTCGTAAAAATTGAAAATTAAGATGCTCGTAAAAAATTTTTAATTGACTTACGCTCGATTCTTTTTATAATAATTGCAAGCAAAACTTATGGACAATATATTTCAAATAGTCCACACCCCCTTTAAAATTATTTTATGAGTTCACGCCCCACCTCCTCACTACTCTAAGATTAATGTATGCTTAATATTTATATGTAAGCTATACTTTAATGAAGGGGCTGGAATCGAATCCAAAAGAACCGGTTCTGGAACCCAAGAACCAACCCTTAAAATATTGGGAATCAGAACCATATTTTTTCATACCTATTCAAAGAATCAGAACTGAATCGGAACCTTCAATATAAAATAGAAAATATCGGATGTAAAAAACATTATTAATTATGTTTTTATTCTTAAAATTTCAAAGCATAAATAAATTACTGAGATATAAGTTTTTTAAAAATTTCATTTTTAATTTTAATTTTTAATATTATGTGCTTATAAATGGTCGACTAAAGGCTAAAAAGGTTAATACACCAATTTCACCAATACGAGGGTTATCTCAGTGGTGAATTGGGCAACATACCCTATTATGTATAGTTAAAACTTAATTTAATTTGTACATATTACTATTTTTCAAAATTTACAAACTCTGTTTTTGGCCAAATAAATTATTATTATTTATTATTATAGATTCAAATTTGAATAATAACATAATGAATTCAAAAATGAAATTTTATTTTGCATATTTTCTCATATTATTAAATACTATTTTTAGGCTATATTATAATACTATAATATTATACATTACTATATAGCTATTAAAAGAAACTTATTGCGATATATATATATAAATTAGTTGAAGAGAGACATTTTGAGACATTTATTTTTATACGAGTATATTATGCCATATTACTTAGTAATGCCATTATACTGGTAACGTAATATATTATATAATATATGTAATTTTTAAATATGTATCAAAAAATACTACGGAATACATTTTAAAAATTTTTATTTAGAACCCTATAATACCGGAACTCGAACCATTTAATAAAATAATTGAGAGCCGGAGTACCAGTCCCTGTTTTAATATTGGTTATTTGATTATTAAGAATACAAATTCAATCAAGTTTTTTTAATATTAAATTAATTTATTTGCATAAAAAAAAAAATCGAACACAGCGGCAAGCACGGCGTAGAAAATGGCGTTTTCATTTTTCGTGTTTTTTTTTTCAACATTTTCACGCCCCCCCCTGAAATTTTGTGACGCCTCCCTAGGGGGTGGGCCCCCCAGGTTGAGAGCCACTGATATAAATCGTTTATTTGATTCGATTCAGAAAATCAACTATCCACTTTTTGACTGCTTATTTAAACATCTTACTTTAATAAATTAAAAAAAAATGGTTTTTATTCCAAATTTATTTTTTAAGTGTACGATGCGTAAAAATTTAGAAATCATAACAACCGAATGTAACCATTCTTCGTCGATGTGCATAAATATAACAGTGGTTACAGCAATTGTAAATACTGGACAAAGATACAATGCGCGCTGTGAAGGTAATAAAATTATTGTTGAACTGTTTACTGATAAAACGTAATAATTACACGTTCGGGAAACTCATGCACACTAATGATCAGTTACTACTCACACATACTCATACAGCAATTCCCAATGAATATAACATATTGCCTATACTCAACCCCTTAAAAACGGTCCAATTTCAACCCTCTTAAAATAAACAACTGTATGGGACTTATAATTAAATAACAAAATTCTTTTTTTGGATCCTAATAGTTGTGAAAATTATGACTAATTTTATAAGATAATTATGGATCGAGAAAGCAATACATTTATTGTTAAAAAATATTTCACTTTGATATTGTATTATATGGATGAAATAATTTGATTTCCATTTTTTCAAGAATTTTCCTGCATTTTTTATAATAAGAAAAAAAAATCAATAACAGCAAGAGAATAATTTTTAGAACTATTTAGTAACGCCGTTATTTTATCAAAAGAATAATAGGTCAAATGTCTTTTGTTGAAAATGAAAAAAAAAATTGTTATAGATTTATTATATGTGTAAAAACACATAATTTTTTTTCTTTGACGTCCCAAAGGTTGGTGATTTATGATCATTATAATGACCAATGGACCTTTTAGGTCTATACAAATATTATATTTAGATACAGTTTATAAATGATCTCAAATTTGTGAGTATAATACTGCAACTGAATGAAAGATGTGGTATACATAAATATAAAATATTTTCTTTGTTGAAAATCATCGAAATAGATTTAAAAAATGATTGATTTTTTATGACCAATGTTTAACCATTTTTTTATTAGCAACAAACGATTAGGTATCTTACGGGTTATATTAAAATTAATTATGAAATTATAATATTTATACGACCTATTTAATTTAAATGATAAACTTATCCGTTACTTTAATATTTGAAGTATGACTTGCTATAGATTTCTCATTCGAGTTTACGTTTTGTCATTTTTTGTTAGTTATTTATGCGATTACATTGTTAATGGAATACTCGCATATTATAACACGATTCTGACATCATTACATTTTTTATTTTGACCGTTTTACAAATTTATAAACTTTACTTACGTGGATAGTAAGGCGTTGCATAGCTTGGTTTTCGTTTTTTCGTTTCATCTCCATACCCAGAATAGTACGAAGAACTGTAACCGGGACTTGAATATGAACTAGACGGATTATCGCCCGGTCCAGACGAGTCCCCGAAAGATATATCTACAAATCATTAAAATATTTCAGTTAAAATAACAGTTTATATTTTTATAATAAATTATATTTTTAGTTTTATAATAAAAAAAAAAAAAACATTTCAAAGAACGCTGTATTTTAAGATCCATCGAGAAAGAAAACTAATTGAAAAAAAATGATTAGATATTGTGCAATAAAAGGAGGGAATTTAAAAGAGAACTATAAAAATTATAATTTTCTATTTAACATAAATTTGTTTTTGTATTATTTTAATTGTACGTATTACTTAATAAACTTTATGAATATACAATTTAAGAAATATTTAGTATGTAATAATTTTATAAACATCGATTGTTTAATTAATGGTAATACATTTTTGAAAAAATAAATAAAGAAATATTTTCGAATTTTTATTTTATATTGATTAATATATTCTATTAAATATTATGTTTTAATTTATACTAATCTAGTACAGCCCGCAGGTATATTTTACGTCGAATCGAAACTGTCAGTAGATTTTATTCAGCAAAATAATTATATTTAAACAGTTATGCAGTTATTCATAAACAATGTTTGGACATTTGAATGTGAAGTATTGTTACACATCTTTATAGGTCATCCGCTCTAGACAACTATACCGGTGTATGGGCCACACCACGAATCAATGGCTTGCTGCGGTATGGATTCATTAACTCGTACTAACGATGGTTTGTCTGGTTTTTTTAATATAGTTATTGTTTATTCAAAATAAGAAATTAAATAAAAATGTTTGAGTAAAACAAAAAAAAATAATAATAATAATAATAATAACAGCATAATTAAAACTTTCCCTCCTGTGAATCGGTATACTAATTAATTTGTATATAATTTTTTTTTTTTTTTTTTTTGTTTTGTTATTCTCAATCAATCACAGTGAAAGCAGCGTATGTGCAGTATCTCTTAAAATATACATATTATATACATATATGCATTTAAGTACTTGTAAACAATATGTAGGTACAAATAGAAAAAAAAATCATTTGTTTTCATCTTGTTTGTTCTAGGTCGGTTTTGTTTTTTTCCTCCCCGCGATCCATCATTCTATTCAATTTCACAATATCACTCTAATTACTCGACACACGTATACACACATCACTTCATCCGAGAAAAACGAATACAGAAACGAGTAAAACATAAGAGTGTAAGAAAAAAAAATGTATAATAAACCTAACCTATGTAAGCTATACATTTGTTTAAGATAACTAAGAATTTAAATACAACATTTTATGTTGCATATTTTTGCATATTTTAAAGTATAAGTGCTATTTTGCTTTTTTTATTTTGCAGACTAATTCTTGCATATTTAGAAAATTGTTATTTGCTATTTTGCTTTTTAAGTTTTTTTCAGTTCTGTTGGGCTTAAAACATTTTTTTTTAATAATAACAAGTAATTATGGTAATATTAAATTTTATATTTGTAATTAATTCATGTTAATCAACTAATTCTTCTTCTTTTGGTTTAAATTATATTTTTATTTGTATTATATTTATTTTTGCATATTTTTGTATTTTTAGTGCATATTTAACCGCTTATACGAATATTCTTAAGAGCATATTATAGAGCTTATACCTAATTTTTTTAGGGCTATAAGTTATGAGCTTTGATAATAATATACGTATAATAACTACCTATTATAACTGTACCGACGCAAACGTCATTAGGTGGCTCAATATTTCTGGCACACACGGACAATTTTGTTAATACAATGAATCATTGTAATTAATTCGTACTTATTTTGCTTTCGCTCATTTTCATCTCTGTAAATGCATCATTTTGTTACGATTTTCTTTCGATGGCTTAACCTCAGTAATTTCCCTAATACTACACAACTCTGAAACTAAAGACCGTTCACGAACACGTTATAATGAAACAAATATGGTTCGTGTGCTGTACAACTATGATATACTTGTATTGAAACAATATAATGCCGTGAAGGCCATACACTTTACCATATAGCCATTACTTCAGACTTTCTGTGGTCCGTAAAAAAAACCTAACCTAACCCGTCAAAACTAGAGAAATGATGTAGTTTTAAATTTATGTTATTTCAATGACTCGATTTTGTACCATGCGAATTTTCAAGAAACGGTTTAATCTTACATTTCTTGGTCTGTTCTTTGATGGTCCACCAACAGTTCGTCGATAAGTATCAGTATAAAACTTGACGTTTTCAATTAGTCGGTTGGAAAAAGAAAGCATGTATTGAAATGAAGCATATTTAAATAAAATATTCGTTTTGTAAACTCGACGGGAACGCATTATGTACGTTACACATTAAAAAAAAGAATAGAACATGAACATTTTGTTAGGGTTTACGTTACAGGACTCACTACGCGCACGTGGTGACGATCTTCGATTGATAATTTTCTCGTGGTCTCGAGCATACGATTCTGTACAGATGATTTGGACAGTAATTTAATAACTAATTTTATTTTTTCATCACCAAAGAAAACTTATCAGCCTCTATACGTATTGTACGAGTGCTTGTGCGGTAGTTTACGTGTCGCGCGTTACCGTACTTATGGTGCGTTCGGTTTTTACATCGTACTGTCTCATTTTTTAAAATTTATTTATTTATTTTTTCGTGTAAATACCTTGTGACCCGTAACTGGAACTGGGTGGTCCGTAACTGGGTGGATAGTTGTATCCGTAAAAGTCCGAGCCACCCGAATAATCTCTGCTTTGCACGGACGACGTTTCGAGGTTCGAGGTTTCGGGCGCGCGACGTTCGTCGTTCATCGGCATGAATCCTGCCGGTCCCGTTTGCCCGACGATCGGATCGGCGTTCAGCGGCTGCGGTTGTTGGCAACCGGCGACCGCCAAAAGCGTCGCAACAACGATCGTCGTCGCGCTCATTGTTGACACCACCGAGTTCTGAAAATTCAAACGTTTCGTCATGAGCATACCGTAGATTTGTGGTCCGTCGTTCTAAAGACCGGTCAACACCGTTACATTGCAATACGAACCGCTAGTAAGGCATGTGCTCGTACGGGTATTGTTTTAAATACATGTTTAATATTTACGTAAAAGAAATCTATGGCCGATTTAAAAAAAAAAAAACCCTTTTAGGAAATTGAAAATTGGATGTGTATGCTTAAACTTTTTTTCATATGATTTGTAATGGTGAAAACAAATTACATTATTTAGGACACTACCCGTAAACCGGAAAATCGAATTCCAGTCTCCCGGGTATATATTATATAAACAATATTTAAAATAAAAAATACCTCTCTCGTCCTCGAAGTTACGCAGTGCATTCGTAACGTGTTGTTATTTAAAAAGCAGTTTTTAATAATTAATTTTTTCAATATGGCAACAATCATTACTTTAAAATTTGTGAATAACAATAAAACAGACAGGTATAATTAAATGCCTTGTGATTTTTATGATATTATTATACTAGTGACATTAGTTATTTGGAGGTTTAGTATCATTTAATTGTTTATCGTCGTACAAAAATAAAAAACTTTTATTGTTCAAACGAGTGTTTCCTAAAAGACAAGTCGATTTGAAAACTATACAATTAAAATCCGATATACATTCTAATATTAATTGTTAACATTAATTGTCAAAACTTTTGACAATTTATTTAATTTCTTAGCAAAACATTATTGAATGTTTTATAATGAATTATGTTTCATACTTTTTTTTTTAGCTTATACTTTTTCAGATGGTAGTTATGTTCGAAAATATTGTGCATTAGAATCAGTTCGTAAAAATCGAACAATGGTAATATTTCTAGAATAAAAATGAATTTATTTTACTCATTTCAGCAACAAATCGAGAAAAACGAAATAAAAAGGGAAATCTAATCTCGGTTTTATACAAACCGGTATTGTTAGTTTTGTTGGTATTTGAAAAATCGAAACTTCATATATAGACTTAATATTATTAGTTAAATTATTTATTTTGATATAATAAACTAAATTAATTTTGACTAAATACCGATGGAAATATGTTTTGATTTTCGCATCTTTTATAGATTTTCTACTATTTCCATTGAATCAATGCAATTCAATCATGATAATACTATATAATGCTCTTCGATAAATAACAATCGATCGTTATCGTAATCGACTTTATTTTTTATGAGACGTTTGATTCTACTAATTTCAACGAAACAATGTAACTTTGTGTTTAAAAGTTATCGATTTCATCAGAAATTAACACGCAATCAATATTCTGGAATCATGTTGCACCGAACCCCACTGGGCTCCTTTTTCGACTGAAACGATTTATCGATGTTTTTGAACCGCGGCCCAGTGATCTATTCATAAACGTTCGACCCGTACGTGACGTGCATCGTAGCAGTTCTCCGAGATTATTGATATCGAATTTGAATCGATGCACCGTCAACAATATGGATGAACAACAGCTCATATTATTCGAACTGTCGTAAAATATCGTGCTCGAATAGCCCTTAACTAACGAGGTCCTGGGCTAACCTACTTTCGTCTAGTATACAATATTAGAATTGATGTGCGAAATCGAATTGTAAATAGACTCTATTCAAATCGATACCAACAATTTAAATAACTATACATCCACACGGACGCTTGATTCGTGGGTGTGTTCGCGTGTGCGAATGCATGTTGAATTGTATACTATTCGTTACGTTGTTTTATGTGTTATTTTCGACGAACCTAAACAAAATTGTTTGTGTCGAATATACCCGTTATCTAACGAGATAAAAAATAAACCTAGCATCACGTGAATTTTTTAAATCTGTTTACATGGAGTACACTGTTTGTCGAACCGATAAATCACGTATTAATTTGCCTCCGCTATGGCTTCTGGGACGCGTAATAAGAGCACCGTGAATAATGACAGCAGCTGAGGAACACTCCCGTGAGCGTTCGCAATACTTGTGTAGTAGTTATGTAAATTGGATGTATTAAATATATACTAAATATTATCCACATCCCCATGTACTAGAGCGGTGATGAAATTAAAGCTCTTACTGTGGTCCGATATGACGGTTAGGAACACGGTTTTGGTTTACATCGAGACGGCGTCGATCAGGACGAAAATCTTTGACGCGATGAAACCATTAAGATAAACGCTCACAGTTCCATATCTGTGTAAGCAGGTACAATATTACACTATCGTCACTAGAGTACGGGTGATACAATGCTTTCGCCGTTATTAATGTTATTTTTTATTTTTTCGAATATTGCATACGATCTGTCAAATAAATGATTTCGTAGCTACAAACTTGATTCTGACATGGAATGTTTTTTAAAGCGTTGTTGCATTTTTCATGGTTTCTCGAGCATTTAGAATGTATTAATTTGATTTTTCGGTTATACATTCAAAATATGTTTATTTAAATTTCATCTACTTGGAAAATATAAAAAAACATCGCTGATACGTCAATTTATTGTTCACAGTGTTTAACAGATATATGAGATTTTCTGTTTTCTAGTCATTTAAAACTTTGGTCCCGTAATCGCTAAAAAAGATAAACGTCGAAACACAATGAGGCTTTTCGACAGTTTTATAGGATTCGCCGTTGAATGTGTTCAATAGGCGGGATTACTGTTTTCGGTAGTCGAGATTTCGAAAATGTCGATATCGGCAACAGGCCGATAAATCGATTGTATTATATTACGCTCTGCGGTCCAATGAATCGTTAATAATCGCTGTTGTAACATTACGCGCACGACGTTTTCCTCTCGGGTATTGCCGAGAAGCTTTGCCTCCACAGGAGCGTCGTAGGGTAACCATGCGCGAACGAATAAAAATAAAAAAAGCGACGGGAGATGCGCGAATGTATATAGGAACACACACACACACTTTCCGATCGAATCACATCCGGCGACACTCGGCACGATGACGACGGCCGTTTCTCCGTTACATTCGCTAAACGATATCGTTCGAAATGAATGGATGATAAAAACTTCGAAATCCGTTGAAACTCGCTGATTTGTTATTATCATAATTATTACAATGCCGGTGCGGTGTAGATCTCTCCGGTCATGTCTGTGCCTACGCCGCCGCAGCCGACCAGGGAACAATATAGTACGCAGCGTCTCGTCTGCTGCTTGCATTACAATTATTATTACTATTATTATTATTATTATTATTATTATTATTATTATTATTATTATTATTATTATTATTGCTATTATTATATTGTTGTTGTTTTCTCGATCGGCCGAACACGGACGGCCCACCGCCGTCGTCGACACTTTTAGCATTATTATTATTATTTACCACCGACGTTAACGGCGCACGATGACGCGTGCCCGCATACGGGTACATTACTATTATCGTTTTAACATTACGGCGAGTAGCTGTCGACGAGTCCGGCACAATCGCGTTGGAGAATTATAAAAAAAAAAAAAATTATTCGACCCACGCGACTCGTCGAATGACAACAATTTGTGTCGAGTGTGTTATTATCAAAACGGCGTTTTGCGATACACGCGGCCGAGTGAGATATTGTAGCTTTATATATTATATATAGATTACTATGGCTTTCATGCTAATTTCCCGAGGCACAACGGAGTGTCGCGAACATTCTCCGGGCGTGCCACAATCGTTTAGAAAATGAATACCTTACGCGTGCGATAGTTTTACAGTTTATTCGTATGTCTGACTTGGCGTGGAAATCAATAAAAAAATGGACAAAAAAAAAAAAATTCCGAAAAAATTGTTCGCTTGTCGCATGTGCCATGATAAATTTTATCGAGGAAAATCGTTTTGCGTTCGATGAAAATCGTTTGAAATCTACTACACCACGTACTAATGCGTCGTCGGTCGCGTCCTGTTGCTACATTTGCACGGCAACTATGGCTGGACCTAGGAGACTAGGGCAAGTTATAAGGGGCCAAAAATGTGTTTTATAATTGTTGGCTGCTAATAAACGTAAAGTTCTGTTTTATAAATAAATCGTGACTATACTGCAGTATCATACGAGTACACTATACTTATTTAAATTTATATTTATTACAAACTACAAAAATAAATCGTTTTGAGGAGGAAAAAGGGCCAAAAGTAAGAGACTTCTTCCTCAAATATTATGATCGTAATCCGACCCTAACGGGGACCACGGACGGTTTCGTTTACTCGCACGATAACTCGGATACGACACACCGTGTGCTTGTGAGTTCTCGTAGAGCGCGGAGCATGGGGAATTCACGCGGTTGGGGTGTGGAAAAGCTCCTGAACGCGGTCTGAATTCGTTCGCTGACGAATAAACGGATGGGATCAAAAGGGAAAGACCGGACGCAAGCGTTCGTGCAAGACGATGATCACGTTATATTTCGTTCGCTCGAACCTTAATAATTTATTGTATAATGTTATAAAACTATAAGCTGTCCCGTAATCGCCACCGTTACGCAATGATTGTTTGTCTGAGCAGAACTTTATCCAACATTTCGCCGACCGTTTTTCGCGTGTATCGCGTGTTTGAAAAAAAAAAATGTCATAAAATAATTTTGAAAAAGACAAATGTTAAAACTATTTCACACTATATTTCATTAATTTATTAATATAAATTCCTGGGAGGGTCGAAAATATTTCACGCTCTATTCCATTTATGTATTAATATTAACTCCCGTGAGGGGTAGAGAGTTCTGAATACTACTGTATATATACTGGTGTAACATAATACAACAATAGTGTACAAAAATAATTATAAATATTTAATTATTGTTTAAACTTAGAACTACGATAAAAAAAAGAAAATAAATAGATATTCATTGCTTTAATTGTACACCTTGTACGCCTATAATTATTACTCTATGTTATTTTTTGTTATTAGGATAGTACACTTTTATTTATAAATTGTTCGTGTTCGACAGCCTGTTTTTTATTGAATGTATTAATTAATTAACGATAGGTCCTGTACCTCTGTACTCCCATTAAATTCCATGCGTAGCTTACGAGCATTATCTAAAACGTTATGAATCAGTTCATGTTGCTAAAAAAATGTATAATTCATTATTACGTTAAAGAATTAACTATATCATAGTACTCATTTGGAATTAATGTTTTTAACTCCATGAAAACTTTGTGGAAAAGTTGTTGCGAATTTTCCATTTATCTCAAAAACGATAATTTGATGTTTTGTAGAGTATCAAGTTTGAGAGTATGAGTTCTATATGAGAAAATTCTATCATTATTTTAGCTTATAGACTAGAAACTCGTAAATAGAAAACCTCCGTTTTCATAGTTTATCGATAAACAAATAAAAGTTTGTGGTAGATCCATGAAAATTGATAAACTTTTATGATTTGACTGCAGCGATAAAAGGTTTTCAAATCATATTTTACGTTTGTATTGTTTAAAAATTAAAATATACTTAACATCTCATACATATCTTGATATAGAATTAATTGGAAAATGTATAAAATAAAATTTGTAAAGATACAATTTTAAAATGTATTATATCAGTTTATCTTAATTATTATGATAAAATAATAAACAAGTGCATGGGCATTAGTGCTTATGCGTTGTACATTGAAAAACAATATATCAAATACCTCAAAATCAATTTTAATAAAAATGATAAATTATAATTATTTTATTAATGTTATTATTAATATTTCTTTCCGTTTAAAAATCACTTTGTGTTTAGAGAAACGTGAAGATTATGGTCTTTGAATACACGATTATTTTCATCACACTCTTATCGCATGTTATTTATAATATATCGAAATTTTATAAAAACAATACTCCATATGAGTCTTTTTTTATTTGTACACTGTTAGAAAATAGCATTTGGAAACTGTCAAATTTAAAAGAAAACCAGAACATTAGAATAAATCGCAAGTGCTTGGTAATGCATAACTTTAAAAATATTTAGTTACGTTTCTATTGAAAAATATATGCTTAAACGCATAATTACGATTAAATTAAGTGCTTTGAATATCTATTAAACCAAAATATGGAATGTATTTTCATGAAATTGCGATACATATATGAGTATTCTCATAATTTGAACACCCGAATTTAAATCAAACTTAATAAAACGATTCATGCGTTATAACATAGCTTATGTAATTAAATCGTTATGTATATTTGTATGAAACAGCGGGTTGTTTAGTTACAATTTTACGGTTTTTAATATTAGTGTAAATATTTTAAGTTTTCTGAAAACTTATATGTAGATACACAAAAAGCAATTTAATTTAATACTGGCAATTTTGAAAATTATTTTTTTGTATTCGTTGTAAATTATAATATTTCCGTACACTAATTGTTATTACAAATATTTATACTTGTAAAATTTTAATAGTGTTAATAATAATTCCTATGATATAAGAAGAGTAAAATTGGTAATATTTTGACAGTTAATATGTAAATGACTTGAGTAAAGAATACAATTTGAACATTTTAAATAGAGTTAACGATGGTATAATAAGTAGGTGGTAATAGCGGATAAGATTTTATATTTTATTAGTCGATGTTATGTGAATATTATTATGGAGGGATAATGTCTTTTGCATTTGATGCAATTATAATTGTAGAAATAAAGAAAATTAATTGACAAATATATGAGCTTAGAGTTGTTACGAAATTATTATACGCAAGGTATTGATGATTTGTTCCGTATTTATATTTTGGCTGTTGGTAGCTTCTGCGCGTATGATTTGGTTCTGGGCTAAGCATAAGATTTTGGAGCTATTTGAAAATAACTACTATGTAATAAAACAGTCTTATATTTCTTTTAATTTAGAAACTACTGAGCACTGTAATAAATGGCAATAATTACTTTTTCTCTTGGAAATAAATAGAATGGTTAACATTTCAAATTATTAATTCCAATGGTAACTAACTCTAAAACAGTATTATCATAGCATGTAATTGTTAAACTGAATAGTTACTAATAGCTAATAAACATTTTCTTTCAAAAGTGTGGGCACGTTATAATTATTTTCTACCATTCAATAATCGAAAGTGAATTTTAAGAAAAACTAAGTCAACCGAATGCTGCATTTAATGCTTGTTTTCAAAATATACCAATCTCTTACACGTCGAATAATCTGCTAAAATTCTGTAAATTATCAGGAATCGAACTATCTATTCTAGTGATATTGAATTGATTTTATTAACTGCATGTTACGTTGACTTATAACTGCTTGTGATGTTTGATGTTTCGTAATATTTCAGTTGTTCAAAATTAAAAATTGCCGAAATGTGATAGGAAAAGCGGAATATCACGTATGATACTCATTATCTATAAATCCATTAGAAGATGAAACGTAAATAAGTTTTCATAGTAAACAAAAACAAAGTATATTATCGTGCGATTCACGAGCTGATGCGAAAAATAAGAATTTATTTACTTCAAAGGACATTTTTCCACTACGCCGGGTCGCGCGTTTCGCATTTTCTACGTAAAAACAATTATCGTTTTCCATTACACCGTTCCGGATTGTACAAGTGCAATTGAATCGTTAAAATTACAATAATAATAATAATATTGAATACTAGGGACATACATTTTTTTCTTCGTGTAAAACTGAGATTTAAAGGAACCAAAGAAAAATTTTATTCTTGTCACGAAACATTTTTTTGATAAGAATGTCTAATATTACAGCTAATAAATTTTTTATCCGATGAAACTGAACCATTGTATTTATTGACCGATTATATGCATGCCTAACGATAATGATTCCGTACCGAAATCACCGTAACAATATAATTTAATATCAAGAATCTAAAAAAAAATATGATGTACATATTTAAGAGTTAAGCAAAAGATAATACCATACTTCATCAAATGCTTTTATCCGATTTTGACTAACAATAATAATCACCACTAGTAAAAAGTATAAAATAAAAATAAATGAATACAAATTCTTTTCTAAAGAATTATCGTATAAAATATGTAAACATAAATAAATGATTTAGTTATAGTAAATTATAAACATATATTATAAAAATCATCATCGGAAGAAAAAAAAATGCTCACATTAATAAACATGACCATATTTCTTTCTACGTATATTTTTTCTTCATTTGACTCTGGCTGACAAATCATATCCATACAGTAATTTCGAAACGAAATGATTAAATTATAGTGAAGGACGTGACTCTTCCGTCAATAAAATATGACAGGTCAACTGCGCCAGAAATATTCGGACGCAAATTACCTTCCATTATCGATTTGGGAAGCATAAGTGGTATGTACCTTTAAAGGGTCGTTAGGGTGTATACTCGTTCGATATTTTTATTTATTTTTATTTAAATCGGAACATTACAAATGATTAGTTAACGTTACTTAAATCGATAAACCTATCTCCTGTTAACTTGTGTTGAACTTGAGGAGTTACAATTATCTCGACTACGTAATACGGTTATGGTCGAATGTTATTTATATTTTTTATTTTTATTTGTAAATGGTAGCGATAAGCGCTTCGTAGCGGTCTGGAATTACCTGTTTCAACGGCGACGGAGTACAGAGACTGCTCTCTCGGGTGGGACGTTTCTTATCTCGCGCTTCTTCGGTTTCGGGTGTATCGGATTAGTCGATAGGGGAGAGGAAAACTGCGGAGACGAACAGAAGAACGACGAAAAAAATATGCGCGCGGCAAAACTTCGGATCGCGATTCGACGGCGGGCCTACTACGGTCGTGGCAGTCGTAACTTTTGGCGTTGTTGACGTGACAGCTGAAGCACGACAACGGAATCCATTTACCGTCGGACGATAATGGCACTGGTGCAGCAGCAACACGTCGTGTCGGCTGGCGGATGCGGTATACGTCCCGTCTGATGACCGGTCGGCAAAGCTCGTGGGAACACACTAACGGTTGTGCGAGCCGGTCGCGGTGTTTTTTATCGACCGGGTTTGCCCCGCGCGATTTCCGAAAACAAAACGAAATTAAAAAAAAAAAAAATCCTCGTCACCGCCGCCGTCCTCGTTAGAATTCCGCACGCCTTTGCCCCAGTCGCGGGCCCGAGAGCACAGCGCGTTACAATATAATAGCGCCGATAATACACACGTGCGCGTGTTAAAAGTACACGGCACTTTCTATTGGGAGGGATGAGGAGGGTGGGGCTAGGCGACTTGTTCGCTCTTACACGCGCGCGCACTCGTACACAACCAAGCAACACGTCCGCAAGCGATTCTCACATGCGTACGGTATAACGTTGATACGTGCGTGTGTGTGTTCTCGATTGTGTCACTTATTTCCGTCTCGTTTTTGTTCATTGATGACCGGCACACAGGCGCGCGCACGTACAACGTCTCACCCGCTTATTCAGATTTGGACCTAGATTCTGGGCTCGTCTTCAACCCCGCCCTCTTTTTCGCTCTCGAACCTACCACGCGTCGTCCGCCATCGTTTTTAATATTATCTGGTCTTTTGTTCTAGTTGTCACTCTATACGTGTGCACGTCCTCTGTGTGTGTGTGTGTGTGTGTGTGTGTGTGTGTGTGTGTGTGTTTTCGAACAATTTTCGTTTTCGGCTTGTAATCGTTATAATTGTTTTGATGGAGTACAGTGGAAAGTGTTTATTTTTCTACGCCCGTAGGTCCGGTTCCCGACACGTGCCTGCCTCGCACAATATCATGTTCAGAAGGTACTCGAGTGAGCAGTAAGCGGATACTGTAGCTACGGTCAAAGTAAGCCGTGGAACGGCTACGTGAAAGTGCAATAGGGTGCGTTAGCTAATCCATTTGACCATGATTTGACGTATAAAATCACAAGTCAAACGTCAAGCTAATATGTATGTGATGTGCCTGGGATTAAAATACGTTTTGAAAACTTCAAACGAGAAATATTATTTCTGCGTACATAAATGATAACAGTTAACATGTGTGCGGGTGTGCAACAGTTAAATACCTCATAGACTGATTAAGAGTACATCCGAAGATAGAAAATTTTAATTTGTTGCATTTTAAGTTTGTTATTTTTTAAACGTCCAGACGGTTTCCTCCAAATTAATATTCAAAGGAACCGAGAAAATACGATAAACAAATATGGGCTAGCATTCGTTTTCTACGTACTATCTTATTTATTCATTGATACATTAAGCATATCAGTTTTATTATATCTTTGCATTAATTAATTGCTTGAATTAAAATTTTATTTTATTGCGTATTTTGACTGTGCTGATTTTAGCGTCACAAAACGTCTATTCAAAATAAACAAATATTCAAAAAAGTGTTATACTTATGCTGGTAAATATTTGAAGAACATTTGAGATCCCCTCAAACACTATATTTTGTAATTCTTTATAATAAAGCATGCAAAGAGATAGGTTTCAGGTTAAAATTTTATTGATTTAACCTAGCTATTATATATAACCTTAAATTAATGAATTTCGTGGTGTTTGTGTCTTTGTATTTACAATGACTATTCTTGTCTTAAGAAAAACAAAATGAACAAATACATTAAAATTTATGTATTTTGTAATTTATGTATATTTAATATGAAGTTAAATTTAATTGAAATACGTAAATACTAATAAATTTATTTTTAACCAATAAACCAATACGTATGTATGTATTTACATAATATTATGTAGGTTAGGTTAGTATTTAGAACCATACATTTATTGTTTTACGGGTATGTAGTTAGTGCACCATAATAACAGTAAAAATAACTGGTAACTAATTGGAAATAGAATAATTTAAAAATACATGTGTGATGACTTAACTATGAGTGTTTTACTATTCTTACAAGATATTATTCTTAAAATGTTATATGTTTGTAACATATGAGTATATTCACATAATAGTTTTTTAATTATATACGGGTATATAAATCAATATTTATAAAGACACTCAGCGAGTATTTATTTAAAAGAAATTTTATAACAAAAATTTGTCAAAAAAACCTATTAATATTAATTAAATTCATATTTTATGGCCTCATCGTAGATTTACCTTATTAAAGTGAATAAAAAAATGTTGTTCTGTAAAAATATTAAACAAAACTATAAAATATACATTTAAGCTGTTAGAGATATTTTTTAATATTTTTTTTAAAAAAAATTAAAAATATTAACAGTACAATTATATTATTTAGCATTATTTTTATTGTTATATTTTTGTAATATTTTGTTGTATTTTGTTAAATATTTTTCTTTTAATTATTTGCTGCCATATGGTTTCATAAAATAAAATAAAAATTATTTTTTAAGAGAAAATGTTTGATATTATACATATGATTAGAATGATATTTAATAATTACATGGACGTCATTAAAGATAAAATAAATTGTAAAATAATATATCACATTATCAACAACATCCTATTAAATACGTTCAAATTTATAAGTATAAAATTTACTATTAGCATCATTCTATGACTGTTCTATAAAAGAGGTAAAGAGGTGCGAATAATTATTGGTCGACGATTTTGAAATTGTTCAGTGTAATTAAAACAACGGTACATATACAATATTAACATGCGTCTTCATGTTAAGAAAGTTATTTGATTCAATGTTAATATTATAAATTCATACAAAATATGTATTTGATTTAAATTTTAGGTATATTAAATTTTCGAACATATTTATATCATAATTTTTTGAAATTATGGTTAAGTTTCATACACTATTTTATTGAATATTTACTTATTTATTTTATTCAGTAAACCCAAAATGCTATAAGTCAATAAAAAAAATGTTTATTATTTATTTATTAGAATTTAATAGTTAATGTACATTATACATAATGCTGAAATTAAAATAAATATTGTATTCATTAATTCAAGAAAATTAAAAACATCAATATTGTAACTCTGAAAATATTTTTGAATAATCAAACTTTTGCTACATTTTCTGTTTAAATATTTTAGATATAAACGATTTAGGCAATTTTATCGAAACGGTTTTTTTTTATATTTAATTATATATTTGGCGAAGAAAAATAGTACGCTAAATCGCTAAATACTCAGATGGTTACCCATCTACGAGAACTGGCGAATAAGGAGGCGTAGCTTAAACCTTTCCCAGCCTGATACTGATATGATAATAATTTTAAGCCACTATTTATATACTCTAAGGTTAGAACACATTTGCGTAATTTTGTCCTTTTTGACAACACGATTGGGCATGTTTGTAGATGGGTATCAAAAAGGCGGGTAATAAAAAATAAATAAACACGATTGCGTATGAAATTGTATGCAACGTTGTCAAATTTATTAATTTCACCGTATTATATCTAATATATATATTATATATATACATGTATTAATAGTTCTATAATAATTCATAGAACAAATTAATAATAAAATAATAAATAAAATAAGAATAACTTAATAAAAGGAAATTATTTAATAAATAAATGAAATCGACAATTTTTAATTAAATAAAATTATTGTTAATAAATTAAAATACTTAAATTTGGATTTCCTGTCATCTATAACTAACTACTTTAACTGAAACTCGGAAAATATTGTATAATATAATGGAAATAACAAAATATTGTTATATCTGATATATTTGATATCATTAATAATAAACATAGGTAATGGAAGCTATAAAACACAAAGTATTTACCAACTTTTTCAAGTTCACTCGTACAGGCACATGGTATACATTAATACTGGTATGAAAATTGGCATCAACGTTTAAAACTTTGTATACAATCGTGTGGCTGTATCCAAATTGGGTCCCGAATTTAAAATTACTACACTAGTTGGGTCCCGGATTTTTATAAATACTTCACTAGTTCCTAAATATTTTTTGGTAAGTACTATATTATACTAACAATACTAACATTTTTCTTCCCACTTTAACAGACTTAGGACTTATCCTATGATCTATTTATACCACAGGTATGCTTAAAAATGTTTTTATAGTATTTTTTTTGGTTTTTTAGTTTTTTTTTCCATTCATTTTTATTTATATTATATAATGATTTTAACATTTTTAATATTTTTACCAACACAATTCTAATAATTTATATTTTAATGAAAAAGAAACTGAAAAAAAAAACTACCTATAAAATCATTTTTAAACCTTACCTGTGATCTAAATAGATCATAGACAGTCCTGAGTCAGTTAAAATGGGAAGGAAAATGTTAGTATAATGTAGTACTTACCAAAAAATATCAGGAACTAGTGTAGTACTTATAAAAATCCGGGACCCAACTAGTGTAATATCTATAAAAATCCAACTAGTACACTACTTGCGATTAGCCCTTAGTTCTCGGAATTCAACTCGGATGCTCAGAATCGTGTAGTTAAAAATTAGGTAAAATCGTTTGGAATCTTTTAGCTTAAAAAGATATCGCAGATAACGAATGTACGCAATAGTGTTTTACCCTACTCTGAGATGGATTGACGAATCGGAAAATCGCTAAGTTTCCCTCGTATATCAATTTTTGAAAGAATTGAATTCTTAATTATTTTTCGTTTAAAATCGGTTTAAAAAAAAAATTGTAGGGCGCCTTTGATTTGTATTCTCACCGGCCGTTTATTTCACCAACTCTCTTCTGTAAGTACGTATATAAGATTATAGGAATTCATAGTAATGTTTACTTTATACTTTATCAAGTGTTCGTACTAAGATAAAGTTATGGATCTAAATAAGTTTAAAGCACGAACTATTATTTATTCATCCATGATCACACACAGAGTAAACTACAGATTTCGATTACGAACAGATATATAATGTACTGTGTATTATAAGTAGCGTCGTGTATAGATCCGAGTCAACAATGCATTAATAACCCATTAGGAATTTCAATCATAAAACAGTTTAGTTTTTTTTAAATAACTTCGTGTACAGAAGATCTTATAAGAACAAAGGTCTCATAAAACTTAAAACATTTTTTTTAAAATGAATTATTAATAATTCAGATCCATTTTAGAGCCACGCGTACGATACTTATACAAAACCATCATCCATGCAAAATCCTGAATATCCGTTATCTTAAATAGCCTGTACAACTTTTTGCCTAGAAAATATCAATAGAAATTAAATCTTTTCTAA